TTTATCTGATATTAGGAAGTTTTAAAAAAATTACGTAATTCCCCTCAGATAGGAGTTTGAAGTTTCCTTTGAGTGTTTGTTTAGTACTTGTGCCCAATAAATCACTGCACGCTAAGCTACGGGACTGTTACAAAAACTCGTTTATTTTCTTTACCCGAACCTTAACGAATAGATAATGATACACAGAATCGATATATTTCACTCGATACACTTGGACACTGAACATTAATTATAGTGTATAATATACAAGGTACAGGTGAATTCTCTATTTCTTAGGAAGCACAAATTTGAACATAGAAACCCCAAGAAACTTTTACAACATACTTTAGAAGTTAAAACGCAAAGTACAAATGTCTTTATGTTTAAAGATAATACAAAGCTAATAATGATTTTTCCTGTAATGAAACAGTACTTATAATCGGGGATAAAAACACAGAAATAAATCAAAATATGGATTTAAAGGCAATCCACAAAACTGTATATGTAAGAAGGGTTACTCAAAAATTAAAATTTATGTGGCGCATCATATCCCAGATATACTTTCACAGAAAAAAAAAATCCATTTTTTTTTTGGGGGGGGGGGTTCCTAACCAGAGTTTCCCATGAACACTAGCCCTAATTTATGAGAAATCCTACAAAATTACCGTGTAGTTCTTCTTTAAATAACACAATCTTCTATTTCAGCCGTGGATCTCATAAAAGTATAGATTGGGATGTTGAAACTGGAAGATATGTTCATTGGTATTTCCTTACTGCCTAAACGTATATGGGAGTATGTGTGTTTCGAGGAAGGAAGGAAGAGGGACGTTACCATGAGAATAAGATATCATTTACATTTACCAGAACAATACACTAGGTTGGTACAGTATATGATTAATCTTAACTGTTACGGTCGCCTCTGAACTATTAAAAACGTTTGTATTCTACGTTGGCAACAAGAGCAATGGCCGTATAGTGAAACAAAGCCCTACTCAAACTGATCAACATTACAATATATATAACTACGTGTGAATCCACAATATCTTTTCAAACACTTGAAAAGTCTATAAAATATGCTTGTACTCTCTTGCGCTAAATTCCGGTGAAAGAAAGAACGTTAAAAATATTGAAAGATGTTTTGTTTCTGTTCCTTTTTACGAAGTATTCTACTGTAGAAAATACTTTTCGTCATCAGTAACACTGCATAAAATCAAAACGTATCATACTGATACAGTTTTGTTTTTACCTGATGACTCCCAAGGTATTTTAATATATGTTAATTTTGTTTATTTAATCTTCTTACCGGTGGCGGTATCTTTAGACGATTTTGTTGCTTACTCACAGGATACTTTTACTCGCCCATAGAGATTTCGTCATAAAACAGTTTAGCAATATGAACACCCATTAGACCTTTAGATTATTCTAATCGATTGGTTGAACTATTTTGTCCACACTTCTCACCTTTTCTTTAATCTGCTTTTATATTCGTACTGTAAGTATTTGTCAATAAGAAAAGAAAAATGGATTTTTTAAAATTTGTTTTGAAATTTTAATCAATTATAAATTATTAGGAAAAATCAAATTAAGCCTAAGTTTTTTTCGGTATACATATGTGTGTGTGTAAAATTTTATTCTGCAGTATTTTATTGCTCATTTCCAGCATGACATAGAAAGAAATACTTCTGTTTGAAAATATACTTGTTTGTGTATGATTGTATCTGTTATATAACACACCTAATAATGACGAAGTAAAAACGCCCTTAGTACTAACTCAATAAGTACGCTCTCACTGTATACAAACTTGTAAAATGTGTTTTAAATATTCTTTACGTTCTACGTTACAGAAGCGTGCGCCAGAGTTTTTATACTCTTTTAAAACTGAAAGTGCATAATAAAATACAAAAATGATAATATACAAATAAATCAGTTTTTGAGCAGTCTCTCTCTTTTTCTTAATCATATGTTGATCCAATAATAGTTGTTTTAATTAGATAAATTTGAGTTTAAAATGCTTTTTTAAGTTCTGTTGTATCTAAAATTGTAAGCATTTCGCTGGCTGCAATTACAAGTCCTAGACAAATATCACATTGAGTTAATAAATTGCCCTGGTGAAATATTACAAATAAAACTGAAGCCTGTCCAAATATACATCTTCATTCGTTGAGGCTAATAATTTGTATATTAATATCAACATTTCGTAAATATACAATGGTTTCCCAAAATTAAGTTTAATATGAATATCCATATCTGATTGAAAGTACGTAATTGTAAAACAAGCTAAAACGATGTAGACATCAAAATGTACTTAAGCCTTCTATCCCATATATATATACTTTTTTTTCTAGTCAAGATAATTATGGCAGACCACTCACTGTACAAATAGGTCGAAGAGCTATGTGAAGTATGTTTGTTTAATGAAGGACTCAGCATAGAGACTGAAACATCGTCTAACGCCAAACAAAAGCAGGAGATCTCTTCAGAGACTTCACACTGGCTAAATTCACTTTAAAATGAAATCATTTTTACAATATTTACTTGTGATGTTTTACTATGCTGATAAAGTTCGTAACAGTTCATAAACTGAGAAGAGTAACAAGGACAAAATAACAGACCAAAACTAACGTAATAGCTATCGATCTTCCAATTTCAAAACTATAAAATAATATTGGTTTATCTTTCAATTGTGGAAACAAACGAAATTGATTTTATCATTAGTAGTATGGTCAGCTTTCTTTCCTTTTATAAATTTAAGATAGAGACTTATTGACACAGTTGCAATATTGAATCCATATAGAAAATATTGGATAAATCAAACAACCAAAATCTGTATTTATTCAGTGCACCGTATTCTAAATTTTCTTTGGTTATGATCTTAACTAAATCACTTGTATGATATAAAACGAAAGTACACACTCGTATTTAATATTGTCAATGGGTATTTGATAAACTAAAATATTTGTCCAATTGTATAGCGTATTTGAAATTAAACAAGAAATCCATATCAATAAGCCCTATAAATATTATATATTTAGTCCATTATACTCCATATCGATAAGCCCTATAAATATTATATATTTAGTCCATTATACTCCATATCAATATGCCCTATAAATATTATATATTTAGTCCATTATACTCCATATCAATAAGCCCTATAAATGTTATATATTTAGTCCATTATACTCCATATCAATAAGCCCTATAAATGTTATATATTTAGTCCATTATACTCCATATCAATAAGCCCTATAAATGTTATATATTTAGTCCATTATACTCCATATCAATAAGCTCTGTAAATGTCATATATTTAGTCCATTATACTCCATATCAATAAGCTCTGTAAATGTCATATATTTAGTTCACAAATGAAGTTAGTTTAGTTCTATGAACACTAGCAGATTTTTTTCGAAAGCATGATATTACATATTCTTATAACTTCCTGCATCAATAATCAGGCTTTTAGGTCTTCAGACCATGTGTGTAAACATTATATTTCATTTTTCTACAGTGAAGCTGTGTATGATTGTGGCGTTATACCTATTTACCTATAATTCTACTAGGACAAAAGTGGCATAGCTTTCTGTAATTCATATCATATAGTTTTTTTCACTCTATTAATCTTTGATTCATCATTATAAAAGTGTAATAAAAATGGGACTTTAATAACTATATTAATACTTTGGTTCAAATAATTCATCTTCTGTTGTTGTTGTTGTTGTTTTCTAGTTTCAGACCTGGAAGCAATATGTCCATCTATAATTTATATTTCGTAAACCCTAACAACTACCTTACAGTCACCATGATTAAAATAATGTGTTGTTTGGAAGGATGTGGGGCTAAGCTGTAAAGAATAAAGGTTTAAAGTTTGCTTGAAAAGCAAATGGAAGGTTAAACTCTATAGAATAAAGGTTTAAAATCTGCTTGGAAGGAAACAGGAAGGCTAAACTGTAAAGAATAAAGGTTTAAAGTTTGCTTGAAAAGCAAATGGAAGGTTAAACTCTATAGAATAAATGTTTAAAATCTGCTTGGAAGGCAACAAGAAGGCTATGCTGTAAAGAATAAAGGTTTAAAGTTTGCTTGGAAAGCAAATGGAAGGTTAAACTCTATAGAATAAAGGTTTAAAGTCTGCTTGGAAAGCAACGGGAAGGCTAAGCTGTAAAGAATAAGGGTTTAATGTATGTTTGGAAGGCAACAGGAAGGCTAAGTTGTAAAATATAAAGGTTTAATGTTTGTTTGGAAGGAAACGGGAAGGCTAAGTTGTAAAATATAAAGGTTTAATGTTTGTTTGGAAGGCAACGGGAAGGCTAAGTTGTAAAATATACAGGTTTAATGTTTGTTTTGAAGGCAACGGGAAGGCTGAGTTGTAAAATATAAAGTTTTAATGTTTGTTTGGAAGGCAACGGGAAGGCTAAGCTCTAAAGAATAAATATTTATTGGACTACTCGGATTTGTATTGCATTTTTAAATATTTGTCAAATCGCCAAAAATAATTAAAACATCATAAAAGTGTTTGTTCGTCCTTATGCTAATTGAACGTAAATATTACATAATGTTATTTCCCGGAAAAAAAAGAAAAACATTTAAGTTTAGTTTACTGATTTACTTCACAAAAAAAGAATTTTAATTTGAGAGAATTTAAAATTTTTGTTTTAATTTAACTTAAAAACAAAAACGAAACATTAGTATGGACAAAATACTTCCTATGCATAAGATCTAACATATCTTTGTTCGTCACTACTTTTCTTCTGGGCTGGTCTTCAATTTGGCTTGGTTGAGTTCGCAGATATTGAAATATGAAGACTTTAAGGTATCTAATAGTTTTATTACCTTTTCACCATTTACTTAAATATTTTTTAGAATTACCAATATATATATACATATAACACACACACACACACATATATATATATATAACATGCATATATATATATAACATATATATATATGTATGTGTATATATAACACATATATATAACATACACACACACACACATATATATATATATATATAACTTGGTTTTCAATATTTTTATACACTTCTATTATTGCAGAATGTTTTATAAAGATGCTCAAGATCACATATTTTGTCGCGTTTAGATAATTAGCATTAAAATAATCCTCACTTTCTAGCTGTATTTGATATCTCTCATTTTGTGTATGTAATTTTCACAAACTTTTAATATGCGAACAAGAACATCTTTATTTTTTTTTGTTCAAATGTATATCATTGGTCCCAAGCCTAATATTTTTCTATCGTCGATTCTTCTGTCATCTTGTGCTCTGTTTTCTTGCTGAGCTCATTTATTAGTTCACCTAACAGCGGAGAGCTCAAAATGAAGAAGAAAATATGCCCCAAGTAACAGCCCGTTAACAATAATCAATGTGAGTTGGTCCTTCTTGAATCTTCCTAAAAATGGACAGAAAATCACGACGAATAAGTATAACTACTTATTTAACATGTTAAACCTAACAATTAAATAACTTAATCAACAATTAGAATATCACTAAAAATAAATATAATCTAAAATCGTTAGCAAAAACATAGTCCATTGTAAGTGTATTTGATGTTACGTGTTTTTGATACGGAAAGACTGACTTTTGGAAGTAGTCCCCAAAATAAGAATATCAGGATGTATTTGAATATTTTCTAAAAGTACTGACAAACACTGAACTAGATAAATTGTTCCTAATCAACAAATATTAAAATAAGCACTCAGCAGAAGTACCTCAAGTTATTGGAGAATTAACAAAAGAGTAAGTTTTAGATATTGTAACAAATGGACAACCTTTGTTGTTGTTTAAGCCTAACAATTGTTTCTAGTAATAAACAAGAACGTTTTGTGATATTTTCAAATATGGTTATCATTACTAGTTAAAAGATATGTAAAACAAGAATTATGAAGCATATTTTCAGCGACCATAACACCAACCTCAAGCATGTTTCTAGCAAAATGCAACTGTAACACCAATCTCAAGCGTATTTGAAACAAAAAACAGCTGTAACATGAATCTCAAGCATTTTTCAAACAAAAAGGAACTATTGCACCAAACACTAGCATATTTCCAGAAAGATAGGAAATGTAACACCAAGCTCAAGAATATTTCCTACAAAAAGCGACCGTAACACCATTCTTAGAATTTTGTATTAGAATTTAGGTTCAATGAACGATTTTTTTTTATTAGAGCGTCTCTAGAATTATAGAGACATTTCTTTAGGCTGGCTCCGACATAGGAATAACTAGTAAGCTAATTTTCTTGACGTGCTTCTAATGTGCACGATATGCACAAAAATGCGTTTAGGCAGTAGATTATTGTGCTGAACAAACTGTTTTTTAAAGTACGTTTATGAGATTATGCACAAGCACAAAGTGTAAGCACATAATAATGTTATAGTTCACGAATTCTACACGAGGGGTGCTATATACAATACATGTATATATCATAATCACAGAGCTCTTTTTTTCTCCTCATTGGATAATCTAAAATTTCCAAGTTTTGAAAAACGACTCTAATATATAAAATGAACAGTTTATTTCCGTAACAAACCATTAGGAGGCTGCAAGTACAAAAAGTGCATAAATCATTGAGCTACTGTATCACTCTAGTAGTTTATAGAAACTTCTCGAAACATTTTTACATAGATATACTATGGAAGTAGAAGTAACTTTGGAAAAAAGGTTTATCCCTAGCACAGTATTTTTGAATACTTTTTTATGTATACAAGTATTTGTACTACCAAGTTAAATTAATTTTATATATTCATATCAAAGACAATGTCTATCTTCCGTTGTTTTCTATACCCAAAATTGTTCCTTACACTCAAAAAAGCCTGAATGAGTTTACACTTGGAAGGAATGAACATACTATTTACGTTAATAGTGAGGTAGTAAGATAAGTTGTAAATAGACGATATTTGTGGGTATTTTTTAGCGTAAGGAAGATCAGAGCTTAAATCAACTTTAGTTAAAACCTAATTAGACACGTAATGCTTTTTTGTAATACTTGTATGAACGTACACCCACCCACACGGAGATATACGTAGAACATGTGTAAGTGGGTTATATTTCTCACATTTTTATTCTTCCCCGTTTTACGTGTTGTTGATTGTATGTTTCTAAAATAAAAAGATGCCAAATGTTTTCATTTGAAGCGAATTGAAGCGTAACGTACGACGGCGTAAGAAAAAGTCCGGAAAGCTCTTTGCCTGAAATGTTTACTCTCTTTTCATGACACTTTTGGAAACATTATCAGTTTAACTTTAGATCGATCAGTCACACAAGCCACATAATGATTTCGTAAATAAAACCGCCAGAGTTTCTTGTACGGACATCCTTTCTATACATAAAACTAAATCACAATGCAACGGAAGAATGGAATTTTGATTTATGGAAGCAATACATTAACCGCTTATCATTATAGATAACGCGCTGTTTTTATCAAACGGTCTTCGTTGCTGTACTAGTTTAATAATTTACATTACAATGAGGAGTTACTGAGATATAGTTAATGAAATACCGTTTTGAGTTACGTAATCTGCTCCTTCGCACACTTTGGATGAGATATTCACGCATTATAATTTACACGTATAAAATGTCACCCCGCTGAAAGATATGAAAACGAAGCTTGATGGAACAGTACCGATTTATCGGCTTGCTTGAGAACCAGAAAGTTATCGTAATAACGGCTTAACAAACGGAATAATTAACACGATGCAGGACTTAACAAAGTAGCAGCAGGCGTTCATCGATTTTCGTTGTGTCTGTTAAGAACTACCCATAGGCACGGGAAATCTTTTGCTAGGTTCAGCAAAAATATCTACCTCTATTATAGAGTTGTCAAAGTTTCAGAATGGTTTGTTAGGAGATGGTATAGAGAAAGGATTCTTTCTCCTCGATTTTATCTATTTTCGCACATTTTATTATTAAGGACATAAGTGTACATTATTTTTTTTTTACTAATAGAGGTCCTAGTAATTGATAGGGGTTTCTGAACGGGCAATTTTGTAATGAAAGGGTAGTTTACAAAAATCTTTAAAATGGTTATTCAGAATTCTCTCTATAAATTGGTATCCGAATGATAATACATTCGATGCTGGTAACAATTAAAATACTCATAGAAAGCGTGTACTTTAAGGGCAGGATTTTAAAATTCACAAGCAATGTATAAGGTTAATGAGTTTCAATCCATAGGATTTAAAATAATCTTCAATTTTCTTAATATTCAGCATTATTCCAATAATCTATAAAACTTTAACTTACTTTGTTGAATCAATACACAAATATATAAACTAAACTGGAATAGTTTCTATGTTGTTGTTTTTTCAATTATACATAATAAGTTAAAAGCTTATTTTAAATTCTAATTTATTTATTTGATAGATTAAATCCTTACTTCAACTTACCAGGTAATTCTGGAGAACTTGAGGAGCTGTTTCTGGAAGTTCTGTCATTCTTTCTTGTATGATCATTGAACTTGCCACCTTTTATCAATATACAAAACTATGTAAATACATAACGTACAAGTAACATAGTAAAGATCCATTACATATTTGACGTCACACGTTGTCGTAAGTCGTTTTGGGTTTGAGAAGCTGAAGTGAAAGAAACTTGGAAAATAGTTTAGAGTCAGTGTTAACAACAATGGTAATTTTGGAAAATAGTTTAGTCAGTGTTAACAACAATGGTAATTTTGCCCATTGCACAAAATGTTTTTATTTGTTTATGCAAGCACTCAAGATATTATTAACCTTTCAAATGAGTTTTCTCATGTTTCGAATTTCGAAAATCCAAAATGAGTTCAGGAATTTCTCAGTATAGCGCATTCATCAAATGTTTTGTCTTATCTTACTGTACACAATATCCAGTAACTTTAATATCTCTACGAATGTAATTATTCAAAAACTATTACGGTCACAAGTGTAAAAGTTAAGCCAGTTACTGGTATATTCGAAAACCAAATTAGGTCTACAATTAATGCATAGATTTCAAAACCTTGGCTTATTCGTACTGTTAGTTTTAGGTAGGACAAGATCTTGATCTGACTGACGTAATTTTATCCTTTATCAGGCTGAGTTATTTTTCCCATTTTGCTTACATTTCACTCTTTTTCCAAAGTTTCACCAAAGTTGAGATTTAGTGTAACAACAAATGAGCTGTCACCGGCACGGATTTGGAGAAAACGTTACATAGACCATAAGAAGGTACATATTCTTGTGTGATTATTTCACAGCCTTAGAACAGTCACGCTGAAAATGTAGAGAGCAAAATGGCATAAAACAAACTCGAATAAATTCGTAACTTGAAGTTAGCCTGATGTAGTAATATTTGTTTTGGTCAATTAAAAAAAAAAGTTAAATATAGAAATTTTCGATGAAAATTATTTCATATCTTGTAGAAAACTACTACTATAATGTCAGGTCCAGTTTGAAACTATTAGGACTAAAGTATATTATTTCATGTCTAAATACGTAACAAATAAAATGAAATTACAAGAAAACAATTATTCCTCGTAATTTGTGTTTGATGCTACTTTCAACTCAATTGTTGGTTGTCTTTCAGTTGAGATGACACATTTGGCATCCAAGTGAATACCAGTTAAAATATCACGTTTTGTATCGAAGCGAAAATAATGTCAAACAAAAAAGAGTTATGGGAAAAGACGTCAGTAACAGAATTAAACAGAGTAGAAATAACAAGCAAATTGCCGTAAGGTAAAAAAGAAAAACTTGCCTGGTTTAAAAAAAATATTTATGAAAGATAGGAGTTTAAATATTAAAAATAGGGTAAAATGATGGTGTTCCTAAATATGTATCATTGAAAGAAAGTGGTAAAACAGTTAAGTTAAAGAAACCTGGAAATTAAATCCAAAGTTTCACTACAATGAACAATAAGAAAGTAAACGTGAAGAAATAAAACACTCTAATGGGAAAATCAACAATGTAAATAATATTGTATTACACATCAACATGTGACAATGTAAATAATAATGTATTACACATCAACATGTGACAATGTAAATATATTGTATTACATATCAACATGTGATAATGTAAATCATATTGTATTACATATCAACATGTAAAGTTACGAACAAATTAAATAGTTAAACATTCAAGATACTAAGTTTTGTATCTTTGCTTCAGAAATAATGTTGCTAGTCATAAATGAAATAGAAAATATTTTAAAAATGAACTATTCTCAGTGCAAATTTAAATATCTCAAAAGGAAATCTGAGAAACATTGACATTTAAAAGTAAAAATATCAATTATTACTCTCACAAAAGAGAATTTTACAACCGTGAGTAGATGATAAAGTAGAAGGAGTAAAGGGTTCAAAACAACAAGGTAAAATTAATAAGTTCAAACACTCTTCTGACAAAGTCATCTTCAGAGTATAGAATATAAAGAAAGTTTAGGAGCAAAGTAACATTTCTTTTTAATACAACAGCTTCCAAAGGTAAAATATATTTCCATTTGACCAGTATATTTAATATTATTCATTTGTAATAAGTTTTAATTAACAGGTTTCAATAAAATTAATAATTCCAAATAAAATGCTTGCAGATATTTTATATGAGAAAAAGTACTTCACTTACAGCTTTATATAAAATATAACTTAGATAGCATTACTTTTTGTGTAATACGACAGTTTATGAGGCTATGTATAAACATATGTATTTTTACGACCATCCTCAGGAGATATTTTTTAAATAGGCTTAATAATCAGAGAGTATTTTAGAAAAACTGAAAAAAGTAGGACAAGCTGATGAGCACTTAATAGACAGTGTATTTCTAATACATTTGGAAATCTATAACGTTAAAGTTAAGCCTGGTATATCATATTATAACTAAAACTGCCTTTCTTCTAAAACATCATATAGAACCTACCACTTGAACCAGTGGAACATACCTAAAATGGTATTCTCACAGAATTCACTAGACGAAAAAATGTCGAATTTGAAAACTTAAATACAGCACGCATGGTTGTTGAATATCGTCTTTCCCCTGACTATCGCTAGATGTTGAACACCCTCATATTTATCAATCGATGTGTTCGAAGGAAAACGAAGTTTGATAATAAACAAAATTACGACACTTATGATATACAACATTGTTTATTGACAAAAAAGGGAGCATGGATAAAAGTTTCGGAATTCTATCAGATTCCAGCTTCAGTATCCTCCCCATTCCTTATTGTTCTTGGCTTGTCTATCTTTACACGTGTGGAGACTGTAATGCCTTCTATATTGGCAAAACCAAACGTCATTTAAAAGTCAGAGCCTATGAACATATGGGAATTTCCATCAAAACGCAAGAAAATTGAATAACCCCTGTGTTTCCTCTATACGCCAACATAGTGAAGAAACCTATACTATCAAATTTCTCTGTCCTCTGCAAGTCTAAGACTGACCTGGAATTATTGATCAAAGAAACCCTCCACATCAAACAGCACTCCTCAACACTGAACAACATGCAGTCTTCATTTAAATTATACATTTTTTAATATGTTCGTATTACTGATTTTACCTTTTTTTTTTCGTTGTGTTTTCTTGCTGTAGTTTCTCCCCATGATTACCGTTTAGTGTTTTATTTGTTTAATTATCGTTATATTTAGCAACTGTACTTTGACAATGTATAAAGACTGATGTAAATTCATTTTATTCTG